TACACTTTCTCCAACTTACTGCAAACCAATGCTAAAGTAGTTAAGAAAATCCAGCTGACGCACTTAAAAATGGTTAAACTGGTAAATTTTTAATGTGTATTTTAACAGTTTTTTTTACGTCAGCAGTTTCTTATTAACCTGGGCATTTCTTTTTCTTTTTAATTTTTTTTAATGTTTATTTATTTTTGAGACAGAGACAGACCATGAACGGGGGAGGGGCAGATAGAGAGGGAGACACAGAATCTGAAGCAGGCTCCAGGCTCCGAGCTGTCAGCACAGAGCCTGACATGGGGCTTGAACTCACGGACCGTGAGACCATGGCCCGAACCAAAGTCGGATGCTTAACAGACTGAGCCACCCAGGCGCTCCTAACCTAGACATTTCTTAATGGCAAAAATGTAAAACTACCACTCTTCTCACCAAATTTCTCTGACTTTGAAAATATAGTTAAATTGTTGGATCACTATAATGTATGTCCCAAAGTAAAAAAACACAGTACGTGAACTATACTGAAATTTAAAATAAAATTTTTTAATAGTTCTATTTTTGAACATGTAATTTTTTTTTAAGTTTACTTATTTAGAGAGAGACAGAGTAGGACGAGAGTCACTATGCCTATGCTAACAAGTCCTTTCCTTGAATTGCTCAGAGGGCAGAGAGAGGACAAAGGGAGAATCCCAAGCAGGTTCCCCGCATTCAGTGCACAGAGCCCAACATGTGGCTCAAACTCGCAAAACCATGAGAACACAACGTAAACCACAATCAAGAGTCGAACACTTAACCGACTGAGCCACCCAGGAGACCTGAACTACAACTGGTTTTATAAAAATGTTATTTATATTAACATACGATGGGTATAATGGATTATTGTTTTGAATTAAGGGAAGATTCTCTTAAACATCTCAGTTTGTTTCAATTTCTAATATGATAAATATCAATAAGGCACATAAACAAGCCCTCTTTAGTTTCTACAGTAATTTTTAAGGGTGTAGAGGGGTCCTGCAACCAAACGATGGGCTGATAGAGAGGCTCATAAGGTGGTTACAGCAGATCCTGCTCATCACAGTCCCAGAACCCACCCCGCTAGCAAAGCTGCTCCTGTCCCTCACTCCCTTTCAGGTTCTGCTACTGCCACTATCAGCACCAGTCTTTGGGGGACTGACCTTCCAGCCTATTCTAAGGACATAAGCACTCTCCTTACCTCAGCAGAGCATGCGGGGCATTCTCTTACGAGCACAATACAGCAAATGTTGGAGAAAACAACAAAAACCTGATTTACAAGACCAACCAAGTTTTACAAAGTACAATTTCGCTAAAGCTGACCCAAGGTTGGCCACAGGTTGGCTTGGCTGGTACAGTCTACCAGGGCATGAATAAGACTGGACGAATGTCCTGGCCTTATCCAGCCTTCCTAGGGGAAGACCACCCTTGCCCTTGGCCCATTCCTCTGTCTGTGGTAGTCCCAGTGAATCTGGGAGGCACTCGGTTCCCTCACCTCCTGCATTAACATCTTAGCCTGGCCAGTCTAGAACTCACGTGGCAGTGCCCTTCCTTTTTGAAAAATTCTCACCTCCTTATAAAATTCCCTCCAAGGATGCTAGTTCCTGCTGGGGAAGAAAGGTCTTTAAGTGTCTCATACGCAAAGTGCAAATGATGCCATGCGTCACATGGATGAGGAGCCTCTCAGTCTGGCTCTTTTCATGGTCAGCAGACTCTTATCACCACCAGGAGAGGGGACCTGTGGAATTCTAATGATTAATGATCACTGTCTTATAAAAATCCCAACAGAAATACTGATATTGAACTCAACAACCAAAAGAGGAAAATTTAGGCACATGCACACATGATAGGAAATTCACTGTTTTCTTTCACTGCTGTAATTATTCTTCCACAGAAAAATACATAGGTGACCTTGACCAGTAGGTAGAAACACAATCATTATTTGAACCAGGCTGGCTAGTAGAGAACTCTGAAGTTTCTTCACTTATGCTATTTGCTTGTTTTTAATTTTCCCCTTAGTTAATTCTATCTGAAAAGATTACCCTCCTTCCTTCTTCATTCCACCTACCATTCACCAAACCATATCCTTAACTTTCTTTGCCAAAGGCTAATTCTGTTCAAAAGCTGGTCCTCAGAATTAACAGCTGTGTGCTCTTTGCTGGAATGCACAAAATTTGGCCTGAAGGAGCCTGAATAAATTGTCACCGGGGGCTGCCTGAGCATCAACTCCACAAGTGTTGGTTGCCTCCAACCCTGGATGTCAAGCCAAATTTTCTGCTCCATCTTATCTCTGCCACTTGCTATCCAAGAGCCTATGGTTCAACGCGCACAAGACAGCCCGCTCTAGGGTGCAGGTGAGCACAGGCTTTCTCGTGGACGTGACTTAAGAGAAGGCACTGATCGGGGCGCTTGGGTGGCGCAGTCGGTTAAGCGTCCGACTTCAGCCAGGTCAAGATCTCACGGTCCGTGAGTTCGAGCCCCGCGTCGGGCTCTGGGCTGATGGCTCAGAGCCTGGAGCCTGTTTCCGATTCTGTGTCTCCCTCTCTCTCTGCCCCTCCCCCGTTCATGCTCTGTCTCTCTCTGTCCCAAAAATAAATAAAAACGTTGAAAAAAAAAATTAAAAAAAAAAAAAAAAAAAGAGAAGGCACTGAGCTGTCAGCTCCAGGCTAGCTCTACAAGTGGCAAGGGTGCGAGCTGAGGTGGGAACAAGCTGTCCAAGCTGTCAGGCAAAACAAGCAGTGCACCTGAGCAAGCAAACTGCACCTAAAACTGGCACCTGGCTCTTACATGCCAGTGGGCAGGGAGCTAGGGGCCCAGACTGCCAGTTTGGGCTAGCCGTGGGCAAAGGCTAAAAGCAGAGTGCCTCAGCGCCACCCCTCCCCCATCAATTTGAGGAATGGCCCCAGCAGGAGGCCAGACAAGAACTCTTCGAAGTGCTACCTATTAGCACTTGGGGAAGGTCTTGGTCACTGGCGCCAGTGGGGAATTATCTGCTTGAATGCTCATCAACAGATCTCTCCCCCAGCTGCTCCCTGAGCCTCAAAAGTTGGCTTGGGAGGAAAGTCTTGTTTTATTTCTGCATCTAACAACGTGAAAGCTACCGGACACTCCCTTTGTAAAAACATGATCTGTCAATCTAGAGGACTGAGCGCCCTGTTTTATCTTCCTAATATTTAAGAAGGGAAAATTAGACATTGTAGACATCTTCTGACAGTTTCACCTTCTATATTTATGATTCTCTATGACAGGAAAAAACAGCAGTTCCAGATAATCAATCCTCCTCATTCTTTTGGCTCGTGGCCCTCGGCAGAACAGAACAGCCAGCACCCCTTTGGGCCCAGTGGTTTGTCCCAGATGGTGTGAAAGGATAAATCTTCCTGTCACTTTGTACCACACTATTTCATCTTGTCTTTAATAATAACTGTCTCTCACTTTTTGGATCATTTCCAAAATCCTATCTTTCAACCTTCTCTCTCAGTGACTGGCCACCCTGTCTAAAAGTACACACACACACACACACACACACACACTCCATATCCTCCTTTTCGCTTTATGTGTTTTCCTTAAAACTTAACACGAAAGAAATGTTTTACTTATTTGCTTACTGTCTGACTGCCCCGTTAGAACAGAAGCACCAGGAGGGCAGGAATTTTTGTCTGTTTTGTTCACTGCTGTATCCCCAGCACCTAGAACTGTGCCCAGCACAAAATAACTTATTTGCTGAATGAATGAACATGCCAGGGATTCCTGGCCTGTTTCATATTCTACAACTCAATTTTTCATTCTCCATTCATTCCACAGAAACTTCAAAGGTCTCACTCATTTCTGACTCCAAACAGTCCCCAGGTCAACTCCAAAAACCTGAAACGCCACTTCCCATTCAAATAATCCAGACTCTCATCTCCTAAATTGTCTGTTTAAAATGTTCTACCAAGTTCATCCTATTAATGAACATATCTGTTCACCACCTCCACTGCCACTGTCACTACCTTGGTTAAGGCTACTATCCACCCTGCCTGGGACTTACTGAAACAACGCCCTAATCTCCCATCTCATACTTTCCAACCTACATTCCCTAGAACTGAAGGAGTAAGCTTTCTAAACTTGCAAATTAGATCACCTAAACCTCCTACCTAAAGCCTATCAGTGGCTCCCCTTGACCTACAGGATCTTATACACACTCCTTCCCATGTGACCCAAAGCCTTCCTTGTCCTAACGAACTACTGTACTTACAAATGCTCAACCCACCAAGAAACACAATCCTAAGCCTTTGCCCATGCCACTCCCACTCCACTGAATGTTCTTTTATCCACCTGGAGAGCCACCGCTCAGTCTCAAGCCCCACCTCAGTAGGTACACCTCCATGTAGTGCACACTCTATATTTAGAACTGTAAGCTTCCTGAGGTCAGGAACTATCGTGACTTCATCTGTGCATCCACAGCATGGGACATAAGAGCATAAAGAGTTTCAAGGAGTGGATATGCAGAAATAATCAAAGTCCACCCTTCCACAAACCCTTTCAGATAAATTACAGACCAGTAGCTACTTTTCACACTGCTAGTTTTGGAGTGTCCCATTCACCGATGTTCATTTCTACAGAGTCCTCTACTGGGTATTTTTAACCCCATTATAAAAACAGGGGAGCAGAGATAAAGGTTAATGCCCAACATTGTAGAGAAAATATCTGCCACAAACTACAAGACAGGCTAAAAGAAATTGTATTTGGGGTGCCTGGATGGCTCAGTCGGTTAAGCGTCTGACTTTGGCTCAGGTCATGATCTCTAGGCTCACGGGTTCAAGTCCCACCTCGGGCTCTGTGCTCAGAGCCTGGAGCCTGCTTCAAGTGCTGTGTCTCCCCCTCTCTCTGCTCCTCCCCCATTCATGCTCTATGTCTCTCTCTGTCTCTCAAAAATAAATAAAAGTAAAATAAATAAATAAATAAATAAATAAATAAATAAATAAGAAATTGTATTTTATTTATTTTATTTTGTTTAAAAATAGAGGAGAGCATGAACGCAGTCCCTCACTACCACAAATTATGCAGTCAAGTTTCCCACATTTGCAGAAATCGAAGGGGTCAGCACATCCGGAGTGCAATGGGTAAATCTCATCCTGGAAAAACCAACTTCACGATCATGGTATCTCCCTTGTCAGCTAAGTATAGAAATTTTAAATATATAACTTTAACCTCATATATAAAAAAGGTTTTCTACAAACTGTGCTATCTTCTCAATTTAGCACATTTGTACAATGACAGGAGAACAGTGCAGCTTCAAAAACAGACAGGAAGTTGTGTAGACATCCTATATTACTGGAGTCATGTCCACAAAGGTTTCCAAAATGAGCTGAATAAAACAAAAATCATGGTCTCAGGGAAACAGTTAGAGGAGGGAATACCATATGAAAATATCACTGTTTTAACTAAGACTTCCATCTTTCCCTACCTCCCATCCAGGAGTGAAACTTTTCCCTATCAGTGTACAGAAATTGAAATAAAAAAAATTAATTTACCAAATTTACACTATTTGAAGTTAAAAAAATTCAAGAAACCCATTCTACCATTTTTTGAGATCCTTGACTTATAAATTGAAAATAAAATTACCCATAAATTAACAAAAATGAGTACTGCCAAAAAGTCAGACTTGGCGGCTTCCAGACATACTTAATGATGACATCTGTTTTTATTTTTGATATTTAAGTAATAACACTGTTCAAACTACCACTTACAAAACTGCTATCGTTTTCATAATGTTGTACAGCACAACTCCATTCCCTGGAATCTGTCCCACAGCCCCTGAGGACAGAGCCTGCAACACTCAGACCCTAAAGATGTCCAAGCGTCGAGCAGGGATTACATCCACACCGCACTCCACTGGCATCTTTAGACTCTGAGAGCAGGAATCCCTCTCCTACAGGGAAAGACAACTGCCATGGCAGAATCTCTCAGGTAAACTGTGAAAAGTAGGGTCTAATCTCATCAGTGTAGGTAGCATTGAGAGCTCTCTAGACAAGAGGGAATCATCAGGTGAAAGTATTTCTCTAATATACCGATAAATTCTTCAACTCCTACAAAATTAATAGAATAAAGAAAAGTCAGAAGGATAAAGCACTCTTGCCAGTTTACAAGAGAATGACATGGAGAACTCTAATCACAAGCAGAGAAAGAAAACCACCTACTGTCTCTGATTGACACTATTGCTTCTCCCATCTCTGACTTGAGCTGTTACATCTCCCAAGGACTCTTTCCTGGAGCTTTTTACTGCATGATCACGCAACGTGTGGGCATCACAACACAAGAAGCTTTACACATACTTCCAAAATACAGGTTCTCCACAGCCCAGAGATCTTAGTAAAACATAAAGACTGTTTAAAAAAGGGAGGTGGGGGGCGCCTGGGTGGCTCAGTCGGCTAAGCATCCGACTTCAGCTCAGGTCACGATCTCGCGGTCCTTGAGTTCGAGCCCCGTGTCAGGCTCTGTGCTGACCGCTCAGAGCCTGGAGCCTGTTTCGGATTCTGTGTCTCCCTCTCTCTCTGACCCTCCCCCGTTCATGCTCTGTCTCTCTCTGTCTCAAAAATAAATAAACGTTAAAAAAAATTTTTTTTAATAAAATTAAATTAAAAAATAAAATAAAATAAAATAAAATAAATAAATAAATAAAAAAGGGAGGTGGATGTGGGAGTTAGGTGTTTCGAATCCTCACTTTCGGTCCCACTTGCTTATAAATCACTTCCCAGGTGTAAACAAAATTTTTGTCCTATGTGAAGATAATAAAAATTAAAAAGCCCATTGAAAATAACAAGAATAACAGTACAAGCTTCAGACAGAGACAGGGACCAGGTACAAATCGGGAGGGGTTGGGGATGGCAGGGTTCTAAACACTGCTCTGGGCGTATTTCTAAAATGCTGTGGTCTATACGGTAAGACAAACACCATGATCAAAATGAAAGTTGAAGGCTGAAAATACATTTTTTAAAATGAGACTAAGGCAAAAGCAGTGTGCACTTGGGGGGGTATATAATTCTATCTAATTCTCAAGAGTCATGCAGGGCTAGGCCAACTTCCTTATTCCAGCAAAGTGAGGCCTCAAGGCGAGAAAGGTTTTATTCTTCACATCTTACACGTTTTGAAGGGACTGGGAGGCAATCAATGAACATAGACAATCTATTAAAGTACTTCCAAGTTCGGTCTGCTGAAGGGCTCCGAGAGCCTCTTACACTCATAGGACCTGCCCACACAATTTCAGAAACAGTAACAGCTGACTGGCAGGATACCCATTTCCAAAGTTGTCCTTCCTCCTAAAGGTCTCATCTAGGTCAGCACTGCCACAGTGTGAACAGATCTGTGATATTTGACTCACCAGAGGAAAAGTCTCACCAGCCCTGAGATGCCCCCATGGTGAGGTGTCCTGAGACAACTGATCTGCCTCCAGATACTGACACTAGAAAAAGATTGTTTGGTTTTTATTTTCCCCAACACAAACAGGACCGGGGAGGAAGAGGACAAGGGAAAGAAATGCACATACCTTTCAACTGATCAGCAACAACGCTCTGGCCAAGCCGTTCAGTCACTCTCCCGTCTTCCATTTCGTACCGATCATCTAGGTATTTTGCAGTGGCCTCAGAAATGTGAACCTTGCCAGCAACTCCCAGCTGCTCCATGAGATTGGCCAAGTTCACATCATTGGACCACACATCGAATTTGAACCTCCTCATGCCCAAAATGCCACACAAGACGGTCCCCGTGTGAACCCCGACACGCATGTTCACCATCTCTTTCTTCTCCTGGCAGAACTGCTCGATGGCTCTGATCATGCCCAAGCCCATCTCAATGCAGCAGTAGGCATGGTCAGCCCGGGGCTCTGGACACCCTGCCACGCAATAGTAGCAGTCTCCCAGGGTGCTGATTTTCTCACACTTGGTCTCTTCACACAACCGGTCAAAGCGACCGAACAGATCGTTGAGGAGACCCACCAGGGCGTGAGCGGACTTATTGGCACTCATCTTGGTGAAGCCCACGATATCTGCAAATAAAATACTGACTTCATCGATCTGCTGCATTTTAAAAGGGCGGAACGCTATAGGGGCTTTCTGTATGGAAGACTTTTTCTTCCTGTTCTTGGGGCTGGAGGTGGCGTGCCTTTTGACAGAATTCTCGCTCTCCTCATCCCCCTGTTTCATCAAGTCATCAGCTATGATTCTTGGCATCACAGAATGAATCATCCTCTCTTTCAGGGCTTTTTCCACTTCCAGATCCTTTCCGTGCATAATTGACTGTCCCACCTTGAGAAAGGTGCTCCTGGATCTCACCTGGGACATGATAAAGAGGTGGATCCCAATGGCGTGAATGCAGACGTGGAGCAGGGCTCTGCTCAGCAGCTCCCAGTGTGGGGCCCCTGCTTCGGGTGGGGGAAAGCAGTCTTTGTCTCGGAAGTGATAGCCAAAGGTCTCAAAGAGAACAGAATAGGCCACTCCCAAACACAAGCTCAAGTACAAAGGTAAGTGCATGACGGTGTAGAGCAAAAAGAGCACTTCGATGCACATGGAAAAGCTCCCCACTTGAGACAAACAAGTGTCTGTGGGCTTGGTGGCGAGGGTGTGATTGGAGCTGTCAACACGTCCTGAGAGAGGCGTCAGAACCTGAAACTGGGCAGCCAGGGTCAGGGCAAACACCAGGAGGGTGAGAACCAGAGAGGTCCACACGTAATGCCGGGCATACACCTTGGTGAAGGTAAACAGAAAAAAGCCCCCACACACGACGAGGAAGCACAGAGCAGGGGCTACCATGACAATCAGTCGGGACCGCATGTGGACCCCAAAATAGATGCTCCACAGAAGGCAGGCGAAGCCGATGTAGAAGAGCGCATACCGGAAGCGGCGCTGGGTCTGCGGGAAGCAGCGCTCCATGCAAGCCTCCTCCAGGTTCACCGAGTCGAACTTGGGGTCCCACCACCGGCTGGAGGCCCTCTCGAACAGCTGGGGCAGCTTCTTCTGCCTGCGCAGGCGGCCTCCAGCGCCCACTCTCCGGGGGACGCCCGCCGAGTCCCCAGAGCTGCTACAGCTGGAGGAGATGCTGTACTTGCAGTGCTTGGGGTGGCTGTTGGAGGACAGCTGCTTGGGGTTGATTTTGACCCTCACGCTGTTGCTGTCTCCGCTGGAGTCACAGCTCACCTCCGTGCTGTGGTGCTGCAGCAGCTGCTGGTGGGGCGGGGAAGCCATGTTGCCGAGCGCTCAGGACCTTCCCGGCCGGGGTCACTGGTACCTGTCGGCGAGACGACCAGAGTTACACCGGCATTTATCCCTACACAGGCGCACACTCCCCTGAAGGCCACGAGCTCTGCCAGCGTGCTCGGTGGTGGCCCCGGCGGTCTCCTCGGAGAGGCACCATATGCTCACAAAAACTGCGGCTAACGTCTAACCGGGGCTCGCACCGTCCCGCCCCGAGGCCGCCCGCAACACTCGGGGAGGACCCGGCAGCCCCGGGCGGGCGGGGCGGCGGCGCCCCCCGAGCCCCCCGCGCCG